TCAAAATTTTTGTCCCTTAGTGGCCGGATGTATCCAAATGGATACATGAAGCCATTAGATGCCGAAGCACTTATTGGTTCTGAGAAATAAACTTTTTCTATCTCCATAGTCTAGGAGCAACGAAAATCCATAAAAAGACTTTTTTGTTACTTGTCTTCTAGTAGCCGGCTGGAAAGGGATATTCTAATATGTTAAAGTGATTTTTTGTAAAAAAAATTTATTGATATCACTCAAATGAAATTAATATCAAATCTATAAGATGAGTTGACTAATTCTTTTGACATATTTTATAATCATATATTTTCAATAAAAAACAATAGTATAAATAAAAGCGTGAGTTGATGATGTTAATGCATCTTTATCTTTATTAACATGCGTAGTCATTGCATTCAAATGAAAAGAATTCTATAATATTTCGTCGTGTATTTCATAACAAAATAATAAGTTTACCAAGCATAGTCACGAGTGTTTTCTGTAAATGAATCTAGAACGAAAATAAGATAATTCTACAAAAGATAAAATTCCAAAAAGTAATGATCTCTTCATACTTAATTGTTTAAATGAAAAAAAGAATGAATACTTTCAAAACCTGTCATTGATTTTCTCAATGTTTTACTAAAAATGTGTCATATTTAACTGTAGTACAAAGTAACTCGTAAACGAAACTTTTCCTTTAGCGCAACTTGTGCGAAACATGTGCTTTACCTCTCTCTATGTCTCGTTTGAGTAGAACACTGATATAGTGAATAGTAATTGCCATTCACGACTAGTGGAATAGGTGAGAGTTATACTGAACTGCAGTTCGTTGACTAACTCTATATTTCAGGCAGAAGTATTAGTCATTTGTAAGAATAATATTACCTGCAGACACTTTTGTTTTCTAAAGTTCTTTTATGACAAGACAGGTGATAAACAGCAACTTTAGAATACTCTTATGTTAACATATGAAAAAGATAGAAAGACACGTGGGGCTTTCATCGCGTGAAATAGATATAATGTAACTTTTTTTTCTTTTTATCTTAGTTGTTTTTCAAAATAACATTCTTGTTGCCAATTGCTTTCGTGGTATTATTAAGTGACAATGTCATTACATGCCAACGGTGATAAATGATGTTTGAATTATTTTAGATTAATAGAAACCATTGCATTTATTAGAGAATGATTGATTCAACTATGATAAATGGAGCCTTTTGTACTCTTACTGGTATTCTCTATTGTAAAATAATATCCTTCACTTTCAAATTATTAATTTTATAGTTCTGCTATTGGTATTAACATTTTGTTACTCACAAAATCTAAACTATCAATGTAATTTCGACAATGATGTGACAGGTGATTGTCAATTCAGACTAACATCGGGAGGAATCGATAATTTGGCCTTGATAAATGGCAGTGTCCCTGGTGGCAATCCTACTCAACCCTTATCTGATGTTACTGGTGTTAGTAAGTCTTTTCTCAATGAAAGATAATAAAGATCACTATTGACTATCATTTATTATACAGAATCTCTGACTACACCTAACAATGAACCCTGCAATTTTCCATATACCTATACACCAGGAAACTGGCAAATGTGGTTTTGTCGACGTTATTCTGCTACCAACTTAACGTGTCCAACTAATTCCGGTTTTGGACAATGTGCTATTGGTTGGTTATTTTCTTAGATTTCACATCATGTTAATATTTTTTGAACACATTGATTGCTTGTAGGAAAATTTGCCGGCATAAGAGCATCAGTTCCTACTGGTGCATATGATCAGACATATGTGACTGATGTTAAACAAAGCTCAAGTGCTATTCAATGTCTTGATTTCTATTACTATATACCTGGAACAACGAGCAATCCTAAAATACAAGTAGGATGGACAGCTGACGCAGACACACAACAAATAGTCGAATTGCCAGCACATTCAGAAAACAGATGGCAAAATAGTCGGAGTAGCTTTACAGCTCCTTCATCATCTTCTTATCAAGTGAGTAATAATATAGTCTCTTCTGGATATAGATAGTTGATGAGTTCAATGAATATTATTGAATGTGATTTAAGCTTACATTCAGAATGATGCGCGATACGGGAGGTTTCAGTTTCACTTTTGGTTTGGATGAAATCAAGATCTATGATCAACCTTGTGGTATGTTTTCTTGTGACCACTTGAAGATTTGTTTTCACGTTTACTTTTTTTTCTGGGAGATTCCACTCAGACGACAACTACCACTGCCGAAGTAGGCATTTACAGCGTTTGAAAGATCTCCTTTTACTTTTATTTTGTCCACATTCGTATTTGTTTACAGTCAACCAGCATGATCCACACCAGTACAACTACTCCTGTGTTGCCCGATACAACCACTCCTACACTAACAATAACTACCACTAGATCACCCGAAACACTTACTACCGAGTCAACCACAACCACTACTGAACTACTCGAAACCACCACTACAATATCAACAACAACTACTACTCTATCGCCTGAAACGGCTACTACTGAATCAACAACAACTACCACTGAGTTAGTGGAAACAACCAGTACAACATCAACAATAATTACTACTGAATCACCCGAAACACCCACTACCGAGTCAACAACAACCACCATAGAATTACCAGAAACGCCTAGTACCGAGTTAGCGACAACTACCACTAAATTATTAGAAACGAGCACTACAACATCAGCAACAGCTACTACTCAATCGCCCGAAATCGCCACTATTGAATCAACAACTACCACCGAATCACCCAAAACGATCATCACTAGTGTGACAACAACAATCACGAGTGAGTTACCAGAAACGCCTACTACCGAGTTAACGACAACTACTACTGAATTACTAGAAACGAGCACTCTTGAGCCAACTACAGCTTCCACTGAATTATCGGAAGTGACCAACTCTGCATTAGCAACCACTACTGCTGAATTGCCGGAAACGACCACTTCTAAGGCAACAATCACTACCGCTGAGTTGTCCGAAATGATCACGAGTGAGGCAACTACAGCTTCCACGCAGTTATTGGAAACGACCATCTCTGCGTCAATAACCACTACTACTGCATTACCAGAAACAGCTACTCTAGAATTAATGACAACTGTCACTGAATTACCACAAACGACGACTCTTGAGACAATAACAACCACCGCGAAATTATCGGAAATGGTCACAACTGTATTATCTATAACTACCACTGAGTTACCCGAAACGACCACTCTTGAGATAACTACAGCTTCCACTGAATTATCAAAAACGATCATCTCTGCGTCAACGACTACTACTACTGTATTATCAGAAACGGCCACCTTGAACCCAATGGCAACTGTCACTGAATTATCAGAAACGACTAATCTTGAGGCAATAACAACCACTGCAGAATTATCGGAAATGGCCACAACTGTATCGAATATAACTACCATTGAGTTACCCACAACGATCACTCTTGAAGTGGCTACAACTTTCAGTGAATTAGCGGAAGTGATCACCTCTGAGTCAAAAACTATTACTACTGAATTACTCGAAACGACCACTTCTAAGGCAACAACAAGTGCCACTGAATTGCCCGAAGTGATCAGTCATGAGACGACGATAGCTTCCAC